GCCCTCGTGTCTTCGCCTCCGTCACTGTCCCCTCGGACACCAGGCTCCTCCGTGTCAGCCCCCGACCCGCGCGTGGCGCCTTCGCCCCTGCCGCACACACTGTCCACCGGCGCTGCGGAAATGCCCACTACGCCCCTGCGAGGTCGGCACGTCTGAAGCCGAAGCCGAAGCCACCCGGAGCCGCCGTCCTCCCTGTCCCTTCTCTCAGAGGCTGGGGCCGCGGCGCGACCCCCTTTGCCGAAGCCGCACACAGGGCCGTTCTTGGCTCTGACGGTGACACCGGGTGGAGGTAGGAGCCGCCGCTGACTCCTCACCGGGGCCCGGCGCTCTGCAGCGGCTTTGCGCGAGTTCCGGGGCCGCTCACATTTCCGCGAGGCAGGCACTATTTTTATGGCCATTTTACAGGTGGCGACGCCGCGGCGCAGAGAGGCTGGGTGACGGGTGACGTGAGGTCAGACAGCTGGACGGCAGGGCGGGGCTGGAGCCTGTCGGTCCCGGCTTCCGAAACAGCCCTCCACGGGCTCCCCAGCTCCAGCCAGGCGCCAGGTCCTGCGGAGTCTCGTTCTTAAAAATGTCTCCAGTCCTTGTCACCTGCCTTACGCCCTCTGCTCCCCGCAGGTCACCCTCGTCCCCTCCCCCTAGAGCACGGGGATAGCGTTGTAACTGTCTGTCTGCTGTGTGCTGGCCTCCGGCGCCCCCTCCTTTCTGCGAGCCGCCGCGTGGACCGTGTGCGTACAGTGCAGATCTGTGTCGCCTCAGCTCCCCAAGTTCGCAGACCTGCCCCTCCCCCAGGTCCTGCCCTGGCCCGCCCTCACCCCAGGCTGGGCCCCGCCCTTCTCACTGCCTGGAACACAGGAAGATGGGTGTGGTTCTGCCTCCTGGGAGCTGGGCCACCTCGGGGCGATGTCCCCCGCCTCTCCGTGCTGGAGGCCCCGTGACAAAACAGGAGCAGTGAGTGTGGCGGGGGGGACCGCAGGGGGCCTCGCCGTGACGGGGCGGGGTGCTCCTTCGTCCTTGGACGGGGCGGGGATGGCTACTGCCTCCGTCACTCGAGTCACTGGAACGTCTGTCCCGTGTCCAGCAGATGGTGGGCACGCTTTTGAGCTTCCTCCACCGACCCCAGACCTGTCGGTCCACGAGCGAGCACCTCCCGGGGCTGCCTCCCAGAGCCGCCTTCCAGCCAGCGACACCGGAGGGTCCCCCCCCCTGCCTTTTGGAGGCTGTTTCTTTCTCGAAGGCCGAGATTCACGATTCCGTAGACTAAGGATGACAGAAAGACACGTGAGCCACCTGTCAGGAGACGGGTAACGACAGGCGCAGGGGAGGAGCAAGGAGGAGGCAGACGTGGGGGGATCTGAGTTGTTCCTTAGTGTCTGCGGCAGGACACAGACGCCTTGATTGACAAGCTCCGCGTGATGGAAGCGGAACAAATCTTCACTTTGTCTCCGTGCAGCTCGTAGGAGAAAGGCAGACAGCAGTTTATTTTTTAAAAGTCGATGCGTTTTTCGTTTTAATTAGGAAACGTGAGAGGATACGGTGGGACGAGTCTGGATTTCTGTGGTTGTCGTCATCACGGTAGACAAGCTCGTGGTCAGAATGGAAATCGTGAACTGCAGATTCTTAGTTTCCTAATGAACTTTGAGAGCGGGGGGCGGGGGGCGGGACGGACCCCAGCAGCACGTCGTGCATGTTGCACGTGTGGAGGTGCTGGCCGGGGCAGAAGGTCAGTCGCCAACGAGAGATGAGCCCCCGGCTTCCGCGGTGATCACTGTCACCAGGACACCTGTGTCTGGAGCAGGCTGGTCACCTCTCGGGTCCCGCAGAAGCCGGAGTTAGACGGCCTCTCTGCCCTTCGGGCTTTCGGTCCTCTGGGTGCAGCGGCCCTTGGCCAGGTTCACGGTCTTCAGTTCAGTGGCGGCCGTGGGATTTCAGGCCTGGTTTTTCAGAGTCGCCGGACCTTGCACTCCTGCGTGGGCTCTCGAGGAACTTGGCCTCGTCTGGCAGCAGCTGTCGAATGAGCTTTCGCGCTGTGCCTGTCCCCGTAGGCTACGGGGCTACGGCGGTGAACAAAGCCGACGCCAACCCTCTGCATTCCCGCGGGGAGAGAGAAGGCCGGGGCCGGCAGGTGTCTCACAAAGCCGACGCCAACCCTCTGCATTCCCGCGGGGGGGAGAGAGAAGGCCGGGGCCGGCAGGTGTCTGGAGGAGGAGGAGGAAGTGAGGCTGGCACCGCTGGGCATCTGTGCGTCCCGTGAGGCCGTCAGGGCAGATCTTGAGAAGGGGACGTGGCCCATGTCAGGGAGGCAGAGCGAAGATGTGAAAAGTCCCTCCCTGAAAGCTCCCACGTCACCTGGAGCTCTGGGTGCCACTTACGTAACCAGTTGGCACTGCGTTCGCTCTGCGCTCTTCGCTGAGGTCACGTGAAGGTGACACCTTGGCTCTTTTTGCTGCGTCTGCCGTGAGGATGAAGACCATTCTCAGCGATCACTGTCGCCGTTCCAGAAACATGGACGCCACTCCGAGGGACGCTCGTGGCTGTGCCGGGCCCAGAGGCGCCCCGGGGAGCGACGTCAATCACACCGGCGCAGGACTCAGTCCCCTCGGAAAGGAAAAGAGGCTCGGGACGTGGAAGGGAACTGGTCGCCAATGGCACTGTCCGCAGCCACGAGCAGAACACGATCGAGGCGTCCGCCGGCTTCGGACACAGGACAGCGCCTGCGCGTGCCGCTCCCCGTCACGCTGCTACTCGGGGGATGCTTCTCTGGGTGGAACTCGAAATTTCTTGGCTGAAAAATACATCCGCAGGGTTCGGATGAGGTCAGGTGTTGCTTTTCCGTCTCTCGAGCCCAGAAAGATGAGTTAATTCTCGAAGGAAACGACATCGAACTTGGCTCGAATTCAGCTGCTTTGATCCCACAAGCCACAGCAGCTATCAGAAAGTTTGGGGGTGGTAACTGTGTTTCTGAAGAAGGAACAGTTCACCTGGCTGATGAATGAGTCAAGGTCGTCCAGCTACAGAAACGCCAGGATGTCGGATGGTTCCTCAGACTGACCCATGGTATTTAAAAGTTGTATATTGGAAAAAAAAAAAGTGATACCTTTGATGGAAGAGTGAGCATTAGGCAACAAGGAGAGAAGCACCTGCGGTTTTCAGGGTGCTGGGAACCCCCTTCTCGGGGGGTACTCCGCGCCGTGTCCCCCGGGAGCCCCACCCGCCCGTGCCTCCCAGGTTGGGTCCTACCGCAACTTTGGACCAAACCGAAAAGGTGCCCAGTGGCACAGACCGCACCCCCCGCCACCCAGCTCCAGGCTCCAGAAGCAACTGTGCTGTTTCCTGTCACCGTCCCCGCACGTTCCGTGTGTGCACAGACGAGAAGCCCAGCAGAAGCCCCCGGATGTGAGCACGTGGTCCCTGACCTTCCTCGCCGACAGCGTCCCACACCCGTGGGCACGCAGGGCCTTTGCGGGACGCGCGCTCCGCGGTTGACCCAGCGCGTTGGCCGCTGGCGGCCGCCCCAGAGCGTTCGGCTGGCGTGAGCAGTGCCGCAGCGGGCGACCTCGATGTGCGCTTGGCTCCCACACCCGGCCGTGCGTCCGCAGAGCGAATTCGCGGAGGCGCCGTTGCCGGCTGGAAGGCAGCGTGCGCTGCTTTTTGACCCACGGGATCGAGTTGCTCCCTGTCGTGATGGGACCGTTTGCACCATGAAGTGGCCCGTTGCCCCGGTTTCATCAGCGTGGGGTGTCCCTGAACTCCGACCTCGGCCGTCCCGCAGATGAGAGGTGGCGGCTCTTCGCAGCTCCGCTGCCTGCTCCCGAGTGTGGTTATCGGCGACGTGCGTTGCTCCTGACTGGATTTTCTGTTTTCCTTTCTCGATAGGACTGTGTCTCCTCTGTCTGCTTTTCAGGTGTGGCGACATCACGTTCTCATTTATTTTTACGTCATGCTGATACTCCGGTGCTTTCTTCCCCAAGGCAGTAATGCTGCTAAGAACGAGCAGGTCGCCCGTGTCATGGATGCCATTGCTTAGGTGTTTTGGGACACCAGCCGTAACGCGGGGCTTTGCCCGCACACTTGACCTCGCAGCTGAGACACAGCCAGATGCCGAGGGGCGCCGTGCGTGCAGCAGGCACGTCGACGATGCCATCTGCCCGAGCACGGTCACTAGCGCGGGCGGGAAGGGGGCCGGGCGGGTTCGTACCCAGCTCCCAGGCACCGGAGCGAGGACAGGAGAGCCCAGGGTCGTGCGGTCAATCGCCCGGGTCTGCTGTGACCAGCCGCTGAGTCACCCGGCTCGTGGCCCGTGTGGCTCCTCCCTGTAGTCAGGCCCGGGAGCTGAGGAGGGGCCAGTCCAGCGCCCGCCCCTGCGCCCAGGCCCTGAGAGCTGCTGCCCCCGTGTATTGCAGCTGCGGTGGGGTTCCTGGCCGCATCCAGCGTCATCACCATGTCGGCCCCTTTCTTCCTGGGGAAGGTCATCGACGTCATCTACACGGACCCCACGGCGGATTTCGACAGCGACCTGGCCCGCCTCTGCCTCCCGCTCAGCGGCCTCTTCCTGTGCGGCGCTGCTGCCAACGCGGTCCGCGTCTACCTCATGCAAACGTCCGGTAAGAGCCTCGCTCCGGCCAGCCGTCCGGGCACAGGGCCCTCCCGGCGCCACGCCCGTGCGGACAGGTTCCCAGGGCCAGGTGTCACGCTACCAGTGGCCTCGGGTCTGGCACCCTCCTCCAGCTCCCCCTTCACACGGCGGGGGTGAGCGCGGGGACAGAGCCCGGGTGTCTGCGGCCTTCAGTCAGCCGTGGGCCCTCTGAGCCTCTGTGGGCGTGGTGGCCTTCCGTCTGTCCCCACCCGTCCTTGCTGGCTGATGGCCCCCAGGACCTGTCAAGGCCAGGTTGTCCCAGGCTGGTGACTATTGCAGTTTTGACCGCCGGCTGCGGGCCCCAGGACGGCTGCTGGCCCGGTAGCTGGGCACCCCTGCCCCATAGGCCAGGGCCGCATGGAGAAGGGCCCGGGGTCAGGGCGGGCTCGGAGGCAGGTGGTGCGGGGAGCCGTCTTTGTCAGTGGTGTTCGTCGGGGTCTCGGTCACATAGTCTGTTATGTCACTGGCCTCAGCGGCGTCCACAGCCCGTGGCTCACACCTGCCACCTGTGCTGTGACACGCCTGTCCCGCGGGGTGGAGGGGACAGTGGACGGGCGGGGCACCAGGCGTGTGGGGCCCGCCGGCCAGCCACCGACTGCCGTGCTCCGCAGGCCAGCGCATCGTGAACCGGCTGCGCGTCTCGCTGTTCACCGCCATGCTGAAGCAGGAGGTCGCCTTCTTCGACAAGACGCACACGGGGGAGCTGGTCAACCGCCTGTCGGCAGACACCGTGCTGCTGGGGCGCTCGGTGACTGAGAACCTGTCGGACGGGCTCAGGGCTGTGGCCCAGGCCTCCGTGGGCTCCGGCATGATGGTACGTGACGCCTCCCGGGCAGGGCGAGGCCGCGGGGGCCCGCGGGTGGGGGACGCTCAGGGCTAGCTGTGCACGTCCCCGTGGCCAGTCTGCCCAGAGCACTGTCCGCGGGGCCACGGGAATGGGAGGGGGTCCCTCCTCAGCTGGCCGCCCGCACCTGCGCTGCTCCGGGGTGAATCTTATCCAGGTGGAAGGATAAGATTCCAGGCGGGGGACCGCTGCGTCTCGCAGAGACTGCCATGTTGCCTGGGTCTTGAGCGGTGAGCCCCTGGGTGAGAGCCAGGCAGTGAGGGACGCCCCAGAGGCAGCGGGACTCCCACCGCCACCGGCACCGACACCCCGCCCCCCCAGGGCGACAGCGATTCCTGCCCTCAGGCTGAGTGGCCCCGGGGATGTCACGTCTGTGGGCCTTGCCGCTTTAGACCACGTTTCTCCTCGGACCTGCGCCGCTGGCCAGCACAAACGTGACGCGGCCACGTGTGTGGTCTTAAGTTTCCTAGTCCCCCCATTTTAAGGAGCAAGAGGAAAGATGAGATGAGATTTATTTTATTTTATTTTTCCGCCTATGGCAGACGCGCAGCCCGTCATCGCCGTCTCCCATCCGAGTACTAACCAGGCCCGACCCTGCTTAGCTTCCGCGATCGGACGGGACCGGGCGTGGTCAGTGTGGCACGGCCGTAGACGAGATTAATTTTAATAACATGTCTTCCTTAACCCAGTATAAAAACCTTATCAGTTCAACGTGTACTTAACATGAAAATTATTCGTCAGATACTTTACGTTATTTTTTATTTTAAGATTTCAAAATCCAGTGTGTACTTTATACTCATGAAGCATCTCAGTCCGGATGCTACATTTTCATTGGAAATGCTTGATCTGTATTCAGATTTCATAAAACATGCAGTTGGAAAAGCAGACGGGGGCGCAAACGAGACGTCGGAGGCAGAAGCCCCTCAGCCCAGGGAGAGGTGGCCGCAAAGCGGGTTCAGCCGATCTGGGCGGCGGCCGCCTGCCCTGTGCTCGGGGCCTCGCCTGGGCGGGTCTGGGTGGAGCAGGCTCCTGTCTCTTCCCGCAAGGACAGCAGCCCTGTGGGGTCAGGGCTCCACCTCTGTCCCCTCATCTCCCTGGTTACTTTCCGAGGCCCCACATCCAAATGCAGCCACGCTGGGGTTAGGGCTTCTGCACACGAGGTACAGGGGACGTAAACCCTCAGCCCGGGACAGGGCCTCGCAAGGTGGCGTCACCTGGGACCTGGTCTTTAGCTCCAGGGGACGCAGTGTGACTTGTTTCTCTCGCCCGCCCCGGGACCTGCCTGACCGCGGGCGTGCTCCTGGGACGTCACAGTCCCGCTGGTTTGGCGGTGCGGGTGTGGGGTGCCCTCCTCCCCTCCTGCTATCCCAGCACCCTCGTGGGACGGGACCCTGCGTGGGGCTTTGAAGGCTGTCGCTGCATGGAGCC